ATAGGTCATCTAGTCTACCCCTGCTGCCATGGGCAGGGACATCTTCCACTAGACCAGGTTGCTCACAGCCCCAAGCAAGCTGGCCTTAAACACTGCAGGGATGGGGCATCCACAACTTCTTTGGGCAACCTGTGCCAGTGCCTCACCACCCTCATTTTAAAGAGTTTTTTCCATATAGGCAATCTATACTCTTTCATTTCAAAGCCATTCCCCCATGTCCTATCAATACATGCTCTTGTAAGAAGTCCCTCTCCAGCTGTCTTGTAATGTCCCTTTAGGTACTGAAACACTACTGTATGGTTTCTCTGGAGCCTTCTCTTCTCTGGTCTAAGGAACCCCAACTCTCTCAGCTTTGTGGCCATTCTCTTGACTTGATCCAATTGGTCAGTGTCCTTCCTATGCTGAGGACCCCAGAGCTGAATGCAGCACTCCAGGTGGAGTCTTACCAGAGTGGAGTAGAGGGGCAGAAACCCCTCCCTCAACCTTCTGGCCACACCAGCCTAGGACACAGCTGCCTTTCTAGGCTGCAAGTGCACATTGCTGGCTCATGTTCAGCCTCTCATCCACCAGCACCCCCAAGTCCTTCTCGGCAGTGCTGCTCTTGACCTGTTCATCCCTCAGCCTGTATTGATACTGGGACTTACCCCGACCCAGGTGCAGCTCCTTGCACTTTTCTTGTTAAACCTTGTGAGGCTCCCAAGGGCCCAAGTCTTGAGCTTGTCCAGGTCTGTCTGAATGCCATCCCGACCTTCAGGTGTGTCAGCTGCACTAATCAGCTTGTTGTCATCTGCAGCCTTGTTGAGGGAGCACTGTTGCTTCTATATAGTCTAAGTCTACCCTCTTTTAGTTAAAATCACCACCCCTTGTCCTAACAACAGGCCCTGCTAAAATGTCTATCCCCATCTTACAAGCCAACTCTAAGTATTGGCAGGCTGCAATAATAACTTAAGACCCTAGAATTGTATTTTCTTCTGTGTCTGTTTTATGGGTAGAAGCTTATGTTGTAGGATATATGGCTTATTTGTATTTGTTAAAATGTAACATGCTGAGTATGTGAGGGAAAGTTTGAAACTGGACACTGTTGTTCCTGGTACATAATAATGACAACTTTGTTGCTTATTATGGTAGCTATTTACTTACTTATAAACAGTGGTGTATATTCTTACATACCAGTAGATGGCATTCTTTATACTGCATACAAGTACACAGATGTTTGTTTCATATTAGTATGTACACAGCTTTCCAGGTCACAGCATTCTGATACTTACTCTTCTGAGGAAAGATGAACTTTATCTTTTATTAGTAGTCTTGAGATTAGAAACCAGATTCCCTGCTGCCCAAGTTGTGTGGCATTGTTTTGATTCTTAGTTGTCTAATGATGCTTGTGCTAGTGAGAGTTCTGTGTTAAGATTCCTGAAATTTTTGGCCACAGTTCAGGATCCTCACTGATATGAAAAATAATTTCATTATCTTTGCTGGATGCACAGTGTGTGCAGTTGAAATGAGTTTTGTCTTACCCATAATTATTCTAGAGATGTGGAAGAATTCTCTTTTTTCACTTGTTTGATAATGACTAATTCTTCATATTTATGGAGTTTCTTTAAGTAATTAGGGATGCTGTGTCTTGGGATCTGTTATATTAAAGAATGTACATGAACAGTTTAGAAAACTTTTGTTCTGAAGTGCTTGCAATGAAAAATTCTTGTAAATAGATTTAGAAAAAGAAGCAAAAAGAAACAACTGTTCCTTTCCTCCAGCCTCCTCCTTCCATCACTGTTGTAAAATGACACATAGTATTCTGAACAGCACAGGGGTTTTTTTTATTTCCCCTTCCTTATTTTTCCCCTCAGCAAACATTATTTCATGGTAACCCACTTGTCTGGGGTTATACCTTGTATTTTTTAAGGGCAAAGTAATCTATCCCAAATGTTTGTAATATGTCTCTCATCCTATCTCTTGGTTTGCTGCTCCCGGGATTTAATTTATTCTGTCACCTTTTTCACTGCTGCAGGTTACACATGTTTGTTTGCTGTAGGCATGAGACTCTCCCCATATGTCAGGTACAACAAGTTATCCTGGTGTGCCTGGTACCTTGTTAGGAGTCAGCCTTTTGCAGGGCACTAGCGCAGCAACCCTGGCAAGCGCAGTAAGCCTCAAGACCTGGTGCCACTCAGAGCCAGGAGATGGCACTCTCTGCACTGGGTGTATGCAGTTGGTCCCCCATGCATCCGTGCAGAAGCTTGTGCCCTCACACGTCGCTTTTAGAGTGGTGAAACCTAGATGCTGTTAGAGATTAAACTCATGGTTT